ATCTTTTTTTAACATAAATCGAATGTAAAACATCCACCCTCCTAGTTGGATCATCAGATGATCGACGTTTAATGTGACCAAACCATCTAAGACGACTTTCTTTAATCTTGTCTCCCACTGGGGCTCCACCAACCATTTCACGGATAGATTTGTTTCGAATTTTGTCTCTAAGTGTCAAGCCACTCATCTGCCTAAGCATTCTCATCTTAGCAAGACTTAACATTATTTTATGCTTCTTTGTTAAAGGCCAAAATTCTGCGCCATAAAGAATTTTATGTGTCAACTCCATCTTTTAAAATTTTCCTTAAGTCTACGCAGTATTTTTCTATCACACAATAGGACTGATGCATTCCTCCATTTCAACCAACCAACTTGAATTCTACTAATTACATCCCCATCTATATCACCATCACTTTGAACAATAAACGAGAGATATCTAAAATGTTCACACCTTTTTAATGATTTGATCATCCATAGTCACCACTCTGCCACTAAAGCTACTATTACTAAATTACATTCCTTGTATTCAGTTTTAGATCTATTCAAACGAAAGCCTTTAGACTCCAATGTAGACATCATAATTCAAGATTTTTCTAGACTTTTTCTATAGTCTTATCCACAAGAATGAGATTTGAGAGTTAACGCACAAGAAAAAAATTTACAAGCAAAAAATATGGTCGAAAAGTCATAGAAGTTTCAAAAAATCTACAAAGATAATAAGAAAATGTCAAACTACTTCCAAAATCCAATTACCTATGAAAGGCCTTATTCTTTTTTCAGTCTTTGCCTCACCTCTTCGCCGATGCTCCATTGTTGTGCTCTCCTTTTAATCCCTTTAAGCAATATTTTTGTGACGATTAACTCTCTTTTGGAAAAATGACAAATGCATAAAATAGGTCCTACAACGCTCTTGCCACTTGTGCTAAAATCTATTTTGATTATGATAGACAACCTTTTGTTGTTTAGAAGAGAATCAAAGCATAAGGGAAAGAGTTAAATCTAGATGCTCATTCAAAGTTTCTTATATCACAAGATTATTTGTGACCTTATTTTAGTTTGAAATTAGTGCATAGGAAATTAAATAACGGCCTTCGCTGCTTCACCGCATCGCAGCATCCATACAAGAGATTTACGTCGATGTAGATAGAGAAAAATGAATTTTTTTTATTGTTTTAGGGATTTCCTTGAAAGTTTTTGACATAATGGTGAATTTGTAAATAAATAAAAAAAGAAATTTAAAAGCTTTAGAGATAGTAAACCATTTATCGTCCCAAGAAGCAACAATGTGTGAGAGATACATCATCCCCTGTCTCTAACTAGTTGGGTATTTCTGAAGTGTTCTCATCTTAAAGCCCAAATAGTATGTTTTACATCTTTAGGACCTAGTAAGACCATATATTGATGTTCTGCAATCAATATTAGAACTTTCAAGCCTCAACAAAGGCTCTAGAAATATTTTTCAGCAATTTTGGGGAATTTTAAGCCAAATTTCTAAAGAAGGTTTTGCACTAATAATTGAGTCAATTGTTCACAGACCTAAGGGAATGTGACATTAGGTGGTTGTCCTACCCTAAAATTTCTCAGGAGTAGATATTTGAAATCACAGATTTTTTTTTTAATTATAAGCATCAAAATTGGAAAATAATATAGTTTACAAAATTGATCTAATTGGGCACAAGTTTTGGTGTAATTTTTAAATATCGAAGCATATCAGTATTTGGGTAAAAAATATCAAGATCAATTTTTAGATCATTGGAATATTAATTTTAATAAATTTATATTTGACACAATATGAATTTGTCTAGTTGAATACAACAAAAAGAACTCACATAAATTTGTAACCAAATGGGCTTAAATCAAATACTCATAAGCATAGTTGAAAACTTTTTGAAGCCATTTGAGAGGTTAAATATTGTCTAAATTTCATTGCTTATATAGTTGAAATGAGTGAATCGATGAAATTAATCTGATAAGTTCAAAATCACACGGTTTTAAATTTATTAAGAAATTAATTAAATTGTCTATAAAGTATTAAATAATTAAGTGCCTTATTTGAATCATTTGATGAAATCCTACCAAAAATAATAGATCATATTTTTATATATTGAGGGATTTCTTACGAGAGAACTCTACCATGTGCTAGATAGCCTACAACCATAGGGTGTTTGTTGGCGACTATTGGCTTGTAATGATGCTCGGCTCCAATTGCCACTATATGCTGACGCTTAACTATTGTAACTACCCACCTACAAATATCACTCATCACTCATTGCCATCAGCCAATCATCGCCAACTATTGAGCGACAACAGTGCCCTCCCTTTTCCATCAATCGACATCCTTTCATGTTTTCTACCAATAATTCTCAATTGATAATAATGAATGTCGCGAGTCGTTGCTCTGTCATCAATTGCTCTTAATGTAATTCACTGCCCAAGATCAACTTTCACTCAGAACCAGCATTAGGCTGATGCCAAGATACTCGCTCGATGTTTGTTAATGACTAGCTTTTGATGTCCACTATCTGTCAATATTTGATGCTCCTCTTTGCAATCATTTAAGCACTCATCTTATCTAGAAAGCAACTATATTGACCTCTTCTCGTAGACCTTTCTCAATTATTACATCGAATTGGCAACTATTAGCTACCAAGATCACGTTATCATCATCTTGTTCCCAATATCCCTTATCAAGAGAATGGCTAAGTGGACTGCCCTTTGTAGGCTAACATCCAATAGTGTTTATTTACCATTGATGGAATCCTTCCATTGAATGGCATCCAACATTTCCAAGCCACCTATGCCCGACTCTTGTATTTTTTATCTCATTTCCTTCATTTTATAATGTGGACCATATTAACTTTTCAACATTACCCTACTTTTAATATTCAATTTTGATCATTGTGTAATGCTTTTCCATAACCAATGTTGATCAACTCATGAATTCTAATGTCCATTTTGATAGCTTTGTCTCTCCTTCTTTGTGGAGAATAACCAAGCCGATCATCCTCAGTTATCTGACTTTTAATATTTTGTTTAGTGTCGCACAATTCGCCAATGATTAATAGCCTCCATTCGCCAGCCTCATATATGTGATAGACATCTTCCTTATCACTCGATCATACCTCTTACTAGTAGAACAATGAAATTTTTCGCCCACTATCTCCCAACTTCCTACATTCCTTATAGAATAATCCCAATTCTTACCAACAATCAACATCCGACACTTGTCAGCTTTTGAAATCCAACATGTCTTCCCGATTACTTGATTTTCTTTTCTTCAAGGAGAAAGATAAAATTAACTTTGTCATTACCCGAATTATGGTATTCCCCATTCACTATGGCCGAATGCTTGGCAATGACTAGTGATTGATGTATGTCAATCATCAATGTTTGCAGGAGAGGCCTTCATCTTGACACCCAATCTCATCAACCTTATATCAATTGAATGACTAAGCTTAATGACTACTGTTGCTTGACTTCTGATTTCACCCACAGAATATTTTGCGCAAGACCTGCCTACAACTGACCATCAATCTCCCTCAACCATCAACATGTCTTTTGGGTTGTTCAATCTCCCTTCCTATACTTCAGGAGAATGACCTTCTTGAATATCCTCCATCGCCCAGCTTTTAAAATTCCCCATCCATCGGAGCCCAATGCTTGTCAACTAGCAACGACTGACATCCATTAGCAACGACTGACATCCATTAGCAACTTTTAATGTTGTGCGGCCTCCCTTCTATCAAAAGGCTGACAAAGCTAACCAACCTTCATCTTAGGACTTCCACATCAACTGTTAATTTTTGTCCGCAGTCATCATCTAGTAAGAATTTAGACTTCCCAAGGCCTCCCCTGCTAGCACCACAAAAGATCTCTTGATTCAATCATTGTATTCATGCCTTCTTGAATTTTGAAGAAGGGCGTTCTTTTTATTTCTTAACTTACTTCAGTAGATATATTTTAACTAGGGAAAGCTTTATGATTTCTACTTTTCTTGGGTTTTCTTAGAAAAAATTCCTGTTTCTCCTTAGTGTTGTTCTCAGCTGGCATTACTTTGAAATCCTAATATGTTAATATTTTTCTTCTATCGCAAATTTTTCCTCACAAAAGAATTATTGCTCGTCTTCACTAGAAAGATAACTAATAAATTTTCAAGTCTTTATCATATTTCTGATATGGGTGTGATGAAGTTGATTAGTTTCGCATTGTTAGCTTGATCTTTTGTTGTGTTTGCTACGTTGACTCGTTTATTGGAAGTCAGCTATCTTATATTATGTCAGTTTGCTGCAGTTGACATAAGATTGTTGTATATGTGGTTTGGCATATAAATCCTTTGACTTTATAACACCTACCCAATGTCTTGCTGTTTCTTCCAGCATCAAAACTGTAACATGCCACTGAGGTCTACTTTTCTTGCAATCATTTCTCTTATCAAATAAGAAAACACGGAAATGAAGCAAGAAACTTTGCAAGCTTCCCGAACCACAAGCACCAATGATTCGAGCCATTGTTCCTAAAACAAGCATTGTAGATAGGGTAGATGAGCCTTGGCTTCCTAGGATTATTTGTAGTTGGTTTGCACATCATAAGAAGCTTAACTGAAATAATACCTTTAGTCGCTGTGTAGAGAAAGAATGTAGGTCCTTTTCTTTGGATTTCAATTACATTGACTCCATATAGTACAGGTCTATGTCTTGAGCTTGGCATGTTCAACGCAACAATTTTCTATTATATGTGTGCTAATTTTGGAAACCAATTTATATTACTTCCGGGCCACCAGTATCTTTAGTCTCATACTTATATATTGTATGTGATTGTTATTAATGATGATTGAGGAGGAAATTTTGCATAACAGATTAGATTACTGAATTAGAAAGCTTGTATATTTTGTGTTCTTTTGATTTCTCATCGATCATTGTATGGTTATTATAAAAGACTGCTTGTTTTTTTCTTGTTTCCTTATGAATATAGTTTCTGACGAATAGATTCTCGCTGTGCAGACACACTATGTATTGTTGCTCTGTTCATTCAAAGAACAACTGCAACAGCATGTCCGAGTTCATGCTATGGAAGCAGTGATGGCTTGCTGGGAGCTAGAACAATCTTTGCAAAGTTTGAATCTTTGCAAAGTTTGACAGAGTTTGACAGGTGAAATTTACATCTGATGAAATTGGTGAATGACAAGCTATTATTTTTCCCTCTACTTATAATTTTATAATTTTAGGGTGATTCTAAATATTCTAAAGACTGTAGAAGTTTTGATTGTAAGCATGGAATGGCATGCACAATTATTGGTGGAATTATAAGTTTCCTTCGTACATGTAGAGACAGATTCATTCATACATCTTTATTGATAATTTTTGCTATATTTTTAGACGTTTTTGCACTTGTTACTTATATACATTAGCTTTGCTTTGTTACAAAGTACGTTGGATTTCATTAGGGAGACGGTTGTTCTTGTTCGAAAATGTTGTTTTTGCTTGTTAATGTAGTCTTATGCAATTGATTTTTGAATGAAATTTTAATGAGCTTCAAGAAGGCAGCTGCGCTAAAGATGAATAACCTTTTATATTCTGAAAGAGCTTTTATAGCTTGAACCACATACATTAAACAATATTGGTAATAACATCAACATTGTCTCCTGCATACCTCCTTACATTTATTTCACAAGCTCGTCTAAACTGTCCAAACCTGATTTTATTTGCCATGGGTTCAATCTTGCAACAGCTTAGGCATCCTCAAGAGATTTTCCTTTAGGACTTTTTTTTCTTTCTTTTTATGCTGAAGGATTTCCTTAATGAATTTGTTCAACCGCAATTGATGAAGTTTAGGCGAGCAAGGCATGTAACAAATATGCAATGTAGTTTGAGCTCACATGCAGAAAAGCTTAAAAGTGTCTTCGCAGCATAATAATTTCGAAAATGCTTGTGGAGATTTATCCACTACTCATTTCTTTCCTTACAACATGAAATATCTATAAATAGTCAGTCAATTGCAAGTATTCCATAGCATAATCTTTACTGAATCTCCTTTTGTAATGGAATCATTATCCCCCCCC